ATAACATTTGCTCATCATATCTTCTTATCATCTAATACAGGTTTATGGTCTAAAGCTCCGCAGATTTCTTCTCCTACGGTTTCGGTGACAGCCTACTTCAATGTCAGTTTAAAGTGCTTAGCATTTGTTAGGCCAAGCGACTGTTAGGACAATTCTTTACGGTGGTATTTAAACAACAGCCCAGGGGAATTAAAATCTGGTGAAAAGTATGGTATACAAGAAAGGAAAACCAACACCACATGCAAAACAGATTTTATTCTTACCATTGTTAACGTTACTGAAGCAGACGAGGGAAAGTATGAATGTCAGTGGCTCTGCGATAAGGACTACCCCATCAGCTCTGCCAAGTCTTCAATTATCCAGTTGAAAGTATTTCCTCCTCCAGAAGAAGGTACTGATACTCAAGTGATATCTAAAGGTCTTGTGTCACGAAATTTATCAAATTTAAAAAGTGGAAAACGCCACCAAATTGAGTGATAAAAATAACCGCTCAAAACCCAAGGGGGGGGGGGAGTACGGTACTTGTTTAAATGTGTAACTTGTGTGGCAAATGTGTAATTTTCGCGATCCCAACTTAATCGCTTTCTATTTTAATGAATTGACCCATTTTTTAGATTAAATGAAGAACACTTTACTTTTCATCTGCAGTACAAACATTCTGGTACGTTTGCTAACAATAAATATGGAGAACTGTCTTACCCCAAAAACTCCGAAAATGTGCGTCCCCATTATAGTCAATCCAGCCGTGAAAATGCGACCCCATCCAGCGGCACATCCCCCATTAGCCTCTTATAAGGAAGTTCCCCACCATCCCCCCATCGGGCTCAAAACAGTAACACAGCAAATGCAAAAGGAGTCATGTCATGTGAGGACAAGCTTGAAGGGTTGAAACTGATTGCAACTAAGTGTTTAATTAGAAAACGAAGAATCCAATCCGAAGAATAACTCGCAATTGTATAACAGTAATTTCATTCGATCTGAGATCAGATTGTACAAATATGTTTTATTCAAGAAGTGTAATCAAATAATTGATACATGAAACTAGAAAAAGCGGAATAAATGCCGATAAAAGCTGAACGTTGATACAAGCGAAATCACGTGGTTCTTGAAACAAACTCAATTTAAGCTACTTCAAGTCTGTTTACGGACTAAATTAACAAAACCAAAGTAACATACAATTCACTTACTTCTATGGCGACTGTTTTCTTAAATGTCCTGGAAGAACCATTAAATCTGTCTCGGTAGCAGTGAAACTGTTAACAATTTGATCCTTGCATTACGGCGGTCGGCAAAAAACTTATAAAAACTCGAACAGAGCGGGTGCTTTTGTGGTTCCTGTTGAGCGTTTACGGTTTTCCTACTATTGTCACCTAGATTAAATATAAAGATTCCTTGAATAGTTCTTTTATAACGTTAACACACTGATGTTTTTGGAAACTCAAATAGCCTAGAAGTTTTTCAAAATTCTCTTTTTTTTTGTCCGTAACTTTTCATAAAATGTTTGGGGGACAAATGTGTTTGACATGAAGCAGCGATTTTGTCATTTGCAAGTGATTTCTTAACTTAAGCTGAGTTCCATTAAGAATAAGGACATATTTGGCAATATTATCAAAATGAACCAGCAAACCATGACGTCACAGCCCATTTGTTCCGGTGAGAGGGTACTCCCTTTGTAAGCGAATTGTTTAAAACCATTTGGGTCTGAAAAAGGGAAAGGTTTTGCGCCGTTTGGATACAGGGTCTGAAATTATATGTTCGCGCATGAGTTTTTTATATTTTTGTTGTTGCTATTGTTTTAAATCATCCGCCTTCAGGTCTGTAAATAGGGTAGGAAAAGTCGTACTCTACTGAAACAGGTGGACAGCGAATTCCATAAATACGTGCACTTGAAATTTCCTTTTAAACGGATAGGGCAATAGTTTACTTCTGTTTTTGAAATAATTATAGTGTTAATTATAGCTGAAATTTCTACTCGTGCGGCTATTTATTACTAGGTGCCAGACAATAACGCTGTCGCGATACCCACTAAGGGGACGGCGAATCATAACACCCTCCTTTATCTGAATAATCGTTTCACATGATACAATAGCCGAATCAGAATCCAGCATCTGGGTTGAGTAATATATTAGGTTCCAGACCTCTTTTATATTAGGGAAGGTTTTGCACATGCGCAGTTGCATTAAAGAATGACTGGCAAATCATGGTTCATTTGGTGTTGTTGTTTAAGACCAGAATATTACAATTTTGGCGACGAGGATGGCGTTTGTAGGTCAAGTTGGAGAGGATGTGGACAGTAAAGAAGATATTGCAAGTTATATCGAAAGAGTGGAATTGTATTTTGAGTCGTATTATGTCAAGGTGGATTACAAAGTTGCTACGTTTCTAGCATCTATCGGGGCAGATGCATAAGGCGTGCCACGAAATTTGTTAGCCCCTGAACGTCCAATACATAAGTCTTTTGTGCAATAGTATGAAAAGCTGACTGAACGATTTGGAAACCCAGATCTAATTTCAAAGTCACTGATCAACAAGGTCCTGGACATATCAGCAGATCAGGATGAAAACAATTTGACAACTCGCACAACATTGTGAGAACATTCATGGGCAGGCTTTAGACCAGCAACTGATATGCAGCAAATTTTTGCAAAGCTACCGCCAAAAATTGCGGTAAAGTGAAACAGGCAAAAGTTAAAGCTACAGCCCAAATAAGTGGACCTTAGCGACCTAGATGAGTGGCTGAAACCGAGAGTCAAGTCGAAGTGATAGCCTTTGGTTGCTCCAGTAATATAGAGAATCCTGAACAAGAGAAACCCAAGTCAAATTCAAACAAATCGAAGTGGCTCAGGAGAAAGAACATGCGAAGACTCACGTAATGTTTTGTGAGCTAAGAAAAACATGTACTGACATTGTATGAAACCTGGAAGAATCAACTGTAAGTGAACGATGGTAAATATAAGAGAAGTTGGGTTTGTGCTTTAGATGCCGCAGTGGAGGACATCGTCGGCTGAGACATTCCAACCCTCCCAAGAAGCCACAGGAGAGACGTCATCACCTGGAGTACCAACTAATCACACGAGCTGCTGAGGTTCTGAAGACTTGAACCGGTAAGTTTACCACTCCGTGAGAGGGTAGCACTGCAGATGACATCCACCATGTTAATTTATGGTGGGTCTGGGTCTTCCTTCCTGAAGAGGAGATCGCTGATATACTGGGTTTGTACATACTCTGTGTTGCTGCTTTTCAAGCGAAGTCGAATGCAACGGATATCAAAACCGGTAACCGTCCGCCAGCCTTGAGGGTATGAATGGGAGCAACGAGAGGCAATCATTTTTTGTGGAAATTTGTGAAATAAAAGAAATTGATTGGTCCGTCAATGCAAGAAATTAGATCATAATCGCGACCAGGAGATTATAAAGCCAGTTCAACATATAGAAGTTGATTGAGAAGTGATTATTATGAGGAACTCATTTTACCACTTGAATATCGCGAAGGACATCTGGAGGAGCCTGTAAGAGTAAGGAAAACCAATCGCATGGACAATAGTTGGAAATGTCTCGGATGAAGCAAACGAGTGTCATAAGGCTTGCCATGTTTAGACATACCATGCAACATTTAATCCAGAAATGAGGGCCGATGAGCTAATGCAGAGGATGTGGGACGAAGACGTTGTGGGAATGGCTGATCAAAACAAGCGCTTGACAGCAGAGGAGGTGCTTGCTGCGCGCAAAGAGGCACAATCAATTCAAGGCGTTGTGTTGAGGGACTCTGAAGTAGCAATTCCGTGAAAGGAAGATGGTACGCCTTTGTGTTCAAATAGAAAGACTGCTGAAGACTGACTTATCTCTTAAGAAACACCTTCAGCCAAGGCTGGAGGTTGCTGAGAAATACTGCAAGGTGATAGAAGCCAAGCCGGTATAAAAGAATGAATCCAAGGGTTACATCCCATTCAATTACGTCCAATTGGTACCCATCACATTTTCATGTAGTGAGAGAAGACAAAGAGACTACGAAAGTGAGGATAGTCTACTATTCAGTAACCATATACGGAGGAATGAGCCATAATAGCATGTTGCCTGGACCAAGCTCAGCAAGATGTTTTTTTTATGCGCTATTGCGTTTCCACAGTTATCTTGTGGTCCTGGTAGCAGATGTGACGGAAATTTTCTCACAAGTTACCATGGCAAGACAAGACGGAGGGTACCACCCCTTCCTGTGGGGGTGGAGGTTACACCTCTCTAGACATGCAGAAGTCTATGAAGCAATGAGCTTGATTTTCGATGACCGCGCCTCACTTTATCTTGCCCAGTGCGTTGTGCGACAACATGCAGAAGATAACAGAAATGACCACCCTCTAGCAATAGCCATGATCCTATTACAGGTGTACGTGGATGACATTATGACTTCATTGAGCACTAACGATGAAGCGATTAAAGCTCGAGAAGAGCTTAGGGAGCCACTTGGCAAGGCAGGCTTCAAAATGCGGTCTGGGGGTAATAACAGGCCTGAACTACCTTGCATGAAAGAATAAGGAAAGCAATAACATGCTGAGACGGATGTGTTTAACTTCAAGGTGAATCCCCTGCAGGATGTTGTCTATACCGAGCGAAGGTTCGTAAAGAAATTTCTATGCTTTTTTACCCATTACAGATGCTAGAGGAAGGATGGATATGGTTACTGGGTCTAAAATAGGATAACTTAAAGTAGACGTATCAGGAATGGTTCAGTGAGTTACCAGAATTTTCCAGAGGACAGTTTTCAAGGTGCTATCGCATTGCTGAGGAAATTGTTGTTTACACATTTATTCATACAGTGGTAGACGCGTGTCTGTTGGCATATGCAGATGTAACTTACATTGGGCAAAAATATGAAGATGCAGCTCGAGAAGAAGAAGGGAAGCAGGTTAGAGCTCTTAGCAAGAAAGAAAGGTGTAAGAGTTGTTAGAGATTCCCTTCGAGAGCTGTACACTCTGAACAGACAGTAAGGGCTTTTTTCTGGATCCAGAGTCAGTCCAGGAGGTCTTAGACTTCTATCGCCAACGGAATATTTAACAATTATTCCTCGAGCCCGAATGGGCTCTGAGTCAATAGCCCATGAGGCCGAAGGCCGAATGGGCTGTTGACTCAGACGCCATTCGGGCTTCAGGAACTATTGCTTTTGTAAAATCCAACTAGTTGGTAAAAAAATATCGAGACTAAACAACTTTAGCTGGTTAAAGCTAGCCTTTTTTTTTTTTTTTTGCCGCCAAAAAGCCGTTCGCTACTAGTGGGCTATAACGTATAGCCTAGTAGTAGCTCAACCAATTAGAACGCAGCATTAATAACAGACCACTAGTTGGATTTTACTAACAAATATTTATCAGACGCCTAACCCTAGACAGCGGAGACATGTACAAGACTTGTCGCCAACCGAGTATCAAAGATTCATCAGTCACCTAACCCCAGATAGTCAAGAGACTCACAAGACCTTTGGCGCCAACTGAGTATTGGAAATTAATCAGACGTATACCTAGAACCTCAATGAATTGGCGTTTGATCCCAGGAGCCGTTGGATACTGATTCTTTACCTGGTAAAGCTGTTCTGCAAGCACTGGAGAGGGGAGTTTCTGGCAACACTTAATACCCAAAGGAAATGGAGGGAGGCGACGGACAACCTAAAAGTTGGGGATGTCGTGTTCGATGTCCATCAAAATACTCCAATCGGTCGGTGGTAGTTTTTCCGCATCAGGATGGACAGGTTCGCGTTGTGCAAGTTAGTATAAGGGGCTAGAAGCTTATCCACCCAATAACAAGACTGTGTCCATTGAACGTCGCTGACCAGCCATAATCCTAAAGAGAGGAGCTGAGGATCTGGAGCTCCTTGTAAGCTCCAGGTGATACCCCTGCTAGGGGACCGGAACTAGTCAAGTAAAAAGTTCCCTGAGCATATGGAAAATTGGCTGTTGTGTGTTCTTGTTTGAACCAGGCTTTGGAACAGAATTTCTCACGCCTGAAAAAATCCAAGTGGCGAGTTTCATACCGCCATGTACGTTTCCAGATTTCCGCAGGTATACCAGGCCTTCCGGAGGCTTTACCTTCCTTTCCTGCGCGCGTTGATGGCATCCAACAGTTCCTTAAATTCATGTTTTTCTTCAAGGCATGCAATGTTTACGGGTCAGCAAACAGAACTGAAACACGTCGGCGAAACAGGTCAGCACGACAACAGCATATGCATTTCCGTGGAATAACTGCGAGTTTGCTCGATTTACGCCCACTCTTGGGTCTGCTCTAATGTTCCTCCCCGAGAAGGGACTTTTTGGGGGCTCATTTCTCAAACAGAGGCTGGTAATCAATGCTAATTGCGAGTCAAAGTTTTTCGAACTCAGGGGCTCTCAGGGGTTGAGCTTTTTCGAACTGTTATCAGCGAAACACCTGTAAAACAGATTACATTTAATATTAAATCGGTGTTAGAAATGTGTTGATGATATTACTTACCATCGGAATATAAAGTAAGAATACTAAAAAAAAACACTCCATTTGTTAAAAACATGGAATCGTTGGGTAATGATGACGTCTCAGCCCTGAACTCCCCCAAGTATGAAATGGTTAGGGATGACGTAAAACAGAACTAAATGCCCGAACGGACCGCTTCGGTTGATTTTGTGACATTCACTGCACTTTTATACTTCCACTGTTTTGCGTTTCGTCTGTTCAGTGAAATTCTGTGAAGCAGCTGTTTTGAAGCTATTAAAAAATGCAATTTACATTTCTTCGTCGCATTTTGTTCTCTTAAACAAGCGTCATAAACTCTGAGCACGAAAGAGAAACTCTCGAGTTTGACCAAAATTATGGACCGACAGACACTCGGTAAGCGTGGACTTACGTTTTGAGAGGCGAATAACAGTGTATAAGCAATTGGAGGGCTTGGCAGACAAATGTTTATCATTCACAAATCTTCTTTTGGATTAGCCCTCCCTCACTACATGAAACTTATCCTAATGCAATCGATACAAGTAAATCTTTGATTGGAAACGATTTTACAGACACAAATCACTTTGGGGAAATTATTGAGAGGCTCAGTCTAAACACAAGCAAGTTCCATTAAGTGGTGAACGCTTGAATCAAGCTAGCTTGTTAGCAGAAGGATGCACGATTACAGACATTTTCCTACAATTCATTTCTGTGCTGACGTATTTTCTCTTTACAAATTTCCCTTTTCATTTCCAAATTCTTTCTCCGGCTGTCAAATTGAATTGCATGTAAAAAGTGCAAGAGGAATAAAGGAAATTACACCTTCTAATAAAGTCTTTCCTTATAGTTAAAAGAATTCTTGAAACTGAGAGTGTTTTGATCAAAGCAGCGTAAATCGATTTTAATCAGTGCATGGATTCTTGCGTTTTCTGTTTTTATCTCCCCAATATGATATCAATATGAATCTGTAAATTTTGAAAAAAAAAAAAGAAAAAGGGACGTTGTAATGTCAACTACAGTAAACACCAGCATATATATAAGAACCAACACCGGGGCATATGTTTACCTATCGTATTTTATTCTCTTTTCATTTTAAATTTCCTTTTTTTGTATCCATGAAAGTAATATGTTGAGGACATTTCCCCTTTACCAACTTTCTTTGCAGTTTCTACGACACAATCGTCACAAAACACCACAAACTCACCTTCAACAGGTCAGTGATGTTAAGGGGAGGTCACAGACCTTCCGATAAGAGGGGGCGGTCATCCAGACCCTGAGATAAGGGGGGCGCGGTCATAAAATAAAAATAACTGGGGAGGCCCCTCCCCTGGATCCGCTACCAGTGGCTAATGAATTGCCAACCAAATCTAAAAATAGTATCCAGATCTTATCACTTTTCAAACAATACGAAACAGTGGAAGAAAAGAGAACCACCCTGAGTCGCTGGACTGTTATGAGAATTCAACAGTAATTACCGGGTGTCAGTAAAACGCGGGGTAGCGGCCGCCAGGGCCGAGGTCGGAGTCTATCTCTTTATTAAAGAATACTGTTTTAGAGTTAGGATTAGGGTTATGTTAGGGTTAGGGTTAGTGTCAACCCTAACCCTAACCCTAACCCTAAAACAGCATTCTTTAAAAAGAAAATAGACCCCCGACCCCGCGTTTTACTGACACCCGTAATTACCAACGAGTTGCATCGTGCTCCAGTCTAAAGACACATTTTCACAAATTAGCAAAATATAGTGTATTAGTAAAATCCTACTAGTGGTCTATTATCAATCCTGCGTTCTGATTGGTTGAGCTACTACTAGGCTATATGTTATAGCCCACTAGTAGCGAAAAGCGCCGGCTTTGAAAACCAAAACAATGGCGGTTGAATCGCGTTTTTGCTAGTTTAAGTTGAATTTTCTCGATATTTTAGACCAACTAGCTGGATTTTACTGAAACAATTATTCCTCTCGCCCTCATGGCCTCTGAGTCAATAGCCCATTCGGGCTCGAGGAATAATTGTTAATTAATCCCGGGTAGGCCTTTGCCGATTGTGCTCGGCAACTTTTGAGCAACTTTTGGCGTTTGGAGCAAATTTTTGCGGTTCTAGCAACCTCGAGCAAATTTTGTCTTTTTGACAGCTTTTGAGCAAAAAATATAGGTTTAATGGCCCCACGGTTTAAAGCACATATCAAACACGAAAAAGTGAACGATTTCACAGAAAACTTCAATGTTTTTAATTTCTTTCATAATTTTTTGAATTTTTTTTTGAATTTTTTAATTTTTTTAATTTTTTTTCTTGACCGATATTAGTAATTATTGTGAAGAACGAAAAATAAAGCTTTTAATTAACGTTTTTGTCAAAATATCAAGAAACTTAATTAGGTGGCAAATTTTCAAATTTAGGTAGCAACTTTTTGGCATTCCAGTGAGAAACTTTCCAGCATTTACGAGCACAATTGGCAAAGGCCTAATCCCGGGGGGATACTCCCTATAATTGCATATACGGGGGGCTCAAAAAGGGGTACTTTTTTCAGGCATTAGATCGATGAAAGGGTGGGGATTTTACTTGTTAAACTACAGGAAAGGGTGGTTCTATCTCAGCGATCGTCGTCGCTTCGAACTCTGAAAAGTCAGGTTTCCATATAATCGCTATGATCGCTGCGATAGCTAAACTTTTTTTTTCTCAGCGATCGCAGCAATCAGAGCGAGCGTAGCGATCGTAGCGATCACATGGAAACCAGGCTTTAAGCTCCCTGTTAGCCTGCGTCAGGTCGCAGACATAATGTACCAGTCAATAAGAAAACTGCCCATGCCCCAGCGCAGACCCTTTTTGAAAGGTTTTGGTCAAATTCCCGGGTATGTTGGCAGTTTAGATGGTCAAATACCTCACCGGCTGGCGCTTCAAAAAGGGTCAAATCCCCCACTCTACCAGCGACAGCGACTATTCATGGTCAAAACTTTTCCCCATGCGTCAAACCGTTTATTCAAATCTAAATTTCCTTCTAAACACAACCGAAATATCTCAAGGCTAGGAAAACTGTCTGACGGAGATTTGTTCATTCCAATAACTTTGTTCATTTCAAAAAGCCCACATTTAACGGGCTCTTTCAGATTGCGTGCAAACGGACGCAATGTTGCATTGGGAGTTGTTGGCCAACAATGTTGCGTCCAATCAATCAATCAAGCTTTACACGTTTGCACGTAGCTTCAAAGGCTCTCAAATACTCCAACAAAACAGTGAATATAGGAGCAATGACGTCAATAATCCTTGAACGTGATGTACACGCTAAACAAAACGCTGATCAGCATTTTGACACGAAGGTCAATGCCCGACAGGGCGGGCCTCATTTTGGGGCAAATTCCCCACTCTCGGAAAAATGCTCAGGGTATGCCCGGGGATTGGGAGGTTTTGGAATTCACTGGTACAAAATCTAACCGTTGTTAGAAGTTTAATTCCGTCTTTGGCGCAGGCTAGCTAGATGGATTAAGACTCGGTACTGGGATAAACATTCGGCTGGTGCACGATATACCTAGCGAATAGCAAGTCTCAAGTTACGTCAAAAAGAACACAACAATGATCGTTATCCCTTACACAATAACACAATAGACTTCGCACAATACAACGAGACAATAGTGCATATATTGACTTGGTATATCGAGCATCATCCAAACATTCGCTCATTTGTTTAATAACCACGTTTGAATCTGGATTTCTAATTTTTTTCAAGTACCACCAGCAGATACAGGAGCTTACAAGTGGGTTCTCGCGATTGCGATTTTAACGTCTGGAGTTGGCCTTGTTTTGATCGTGTTCACGGCGTATCACTTTATTAGCAAAAAGTTTGGCAAAGGATACCGCGCGTGTAAACGTAAGATGACATCCAATTATTATCAATTAAAGGAAATCACTAAAAGGGGCTTTGTCACGAGGATACTTGGCTGAGATCATTACTTGATGCCTCACAAAATGCTCAGTTAGAGATAAGAAGAAGATTCCACACAAATTTTATCAGGGAGCAGAAACCATAATATTTTTTGGCGACTTTTGTGGGCAGAGCATCAAAACTTAAAAATGTTGGTTTTAACTGTTTAAGCTTTCAATCCATGTCCATCCTTGCCATCCGTTGCAACAGAAGACAGGAAAAAATTTCAATGCCTAAATTACATAATTCTATAAACATATTACATATTCCTATGAATGCTAAATTACCTAAATTACACATATATAAGGCTACCATACCAGGGGCACCCAACGACTGTTTTCTGTAAACTAGCTGTTCGGAGAAACAAATATTGCCTAGAATTTTCTATTACTTGAGGACGACTAAAAATTTCTAGATTACCGTTCCATTCATGTACAATTTTCGAAGCATATCGTTAAATTCCCTACGATTTTCCGACGCTTAATTTTCACATTTTACTTCCCGAGTTACGCTATTTTTTGTAGAAAAAAGGGAACCTAAAATTTGGCGTTAAGAATCAGAAAACGTCTCACTTTCGTTATACGCCAAATTTCACCTAAAATTTTCAGAAAAATAACCCTCACGCCCTTGTTCAGAAAGACGCAAGTTCCCCTAGGATGACCGAACAGATACAAAGTTTATAGTGCCGCTTAGAATGCATTTTTAGATAGCTTAAAGTACTCTGGATAGCCTAAAAAAGGGTTTTCAGTGTATTTAGGAGGAAACCATCATTGGGTGCCCCTGGCATACTACCTAACCCAACATACTGTCACACTATACGGCACCTTTGCAGGACATCAGACGAGAGAAAATTACAAAAGCTTCAGGAAAGGGCGCACCGTATTTTGTTCAATAGCTAGTAACTCGTTTACTTATAATGAACTGTTAAGGAAATCCAATCTCAGCACATTTCATAACAGGCGACTGCAAGATATTTCAATTACTACGGTTCAAATATCAAATGGGTCTATTGCCTACATATTTGTAACTAAGTTCCTGGGCCCAATCGTTCGAAGGCCGATTAGCGTTTAAACCGGGGTTAAATTTACCCAGGTTTCTTTTTCTTGTGTTCAAAAGCTTTTTCTCGGATAATTTTCTCTAATATTTTTAGAGCTTCCAATCATCAGCTTGTAGACAAAAAAATTAAAATTGAAATGCTTTTTAAGCTTTTAAATCTTAATTCAAATCTCGCACTAACCCTGGTTTATCTTAACCCATCTTTGAACAACTCGACCCTGAAGTACAATTTAAGAACTGAGAATAATATCCAGATTCAACACTGTTAGATATGGTGAACATTCGATGAGATATTTCGGACCATACCTACGGTCTAGACTTCCGAAAGAAATTAGAAATATCTCATCGTTCAGATCTAGAATATAGAAAAACAAACATAGCGGAACTGGTTAGTAATTCTAACCGTCAGAACTGCTATTTACGCCACTCTTGATTTATTTTTAGTGCTTGTATTCTTATATATAGCGATACATTCTTATCACACATTTTATACATCCAATTTACACCACTACATGTATAGTGGAAATATGCAGTCAGTATGTCGGGAAAAAAGAAGTCGATTTGTTGAAAAAAGGAAAGCACATAATAATATATAATAAATAATAAACAATTGTTTTTTGTTTGTTTGTTTTGCAGATGACTTTGAAAAAGGAGTGGAGAGCCATCAGCTTTTCGTCAGCTATAGCTCCAAAGATATGGCCTGGATCAATGAAAATCTGATTCCCATTCTCGAAAACAAAAAAATATCCTACAGCATTCACACCCGAGACTTTGAGTTGGGACTGCCTATCGTCCAAAACATGGCAGACAGCGTCTACGGCAGTCGCAAAGTTCTGATTGTCTTGTCCGACAACTACCTCGCCAGCAACTTCTGTCGAGAAGAGCTGCACATGGCTGTCCGAAGGGAGGCAGACAGCCGAGATTCTTCGCTTATTCTTGTGGCGATCGACAAGTTAAAGAAAAAGAAGTTGCCTGCTGCTTTGAGAAACAAGCATTTGCTCGACTTTGCGAAGCTTAAGATAAAACAGGATTGGGAGAAAAAGTTGTTAAATGTGGTAGCAGGCCCAGGGGCCAAAGTTGCTTAATCAGCCTCATCACAAATGTTCGTAATGTAAGCTAAGCTAAGCTAGTTTCTAAGATAACTAATTGCCAGTTCAATCATATCGAATCATGATAGTTTGACCTAAGCGATAGATCAAGTGCAGAAGTAGTTGGCCGACTGTTTAGAATCGAAGCAGCTTATGAGTCAGTTAGTTCCAAATGTATTCAAAAGCGTTAATTTAAGTTCATGCAGATGCATGCACTTTCGAACTAAGATGTGTGCACAGACTCAAAAAGTAATAATAAACAAAAAAAGGAAACTGAGCACCACTAACAACAGACAACTGCAAAAAATAAGTCAAAAGCTCTCACCTTTTTACTTTGCAGGCCGTCACAAGTTAGAATCACCTTGTACCGCATCGATACAGCATTTGAATAGCACCATAAGAAAGTACTACTCCGTAGCGTTCATTAGAATGTAAACGCTTTACGATTTTACCCACTGGAGACTTAAGAGTCATAGATAATCTTGAAAATTAAGAATTGAATAGGTGCTGCTCAGTAGTCTTTCATTTGTATGGCCTCAGTGTATAGCAGTTTAGTCCACAGGCTTCGAGTATCGTTTCACAGTATGATGAATAGCGCCATGAGAAATGGTACGAACAGCTCTCACCAGAATTGCCAGCTTTCTTTCAAAGTGTCATTCACGACAGACGAGTGGGTTTGAATCTCGCTCTGACCGTTAGCTGGTTTGTCGTTTCTTGGTAGAATCAACGTTGACTGTAAATGATGATTTCATGTGTATCTCTAGGCTCGATTTCCAGCCGCTTGAGGAAGTCCCAATCGTATTCTTCTCATAACAAGCTGAAGATAACTTGGTGGGAGCGAAGGAAAACGGGCGTCGGCTTTCATGGTTATTGAGACTGGTTTAGTCTAGGACTGTTGTTGTTGACAGTGACCGACGTTTCGACAACCTGTGCGGTAGTCATCCTCAGAGTCAAAGTGAGTTGTATCACGTCAGTTGATGGTATTATATACTCTGGTTATTAATCTGATTGGTCAATTATGTCGCGATGTTATTGTTTGTCTGTCAGTTAAGCCATGATGTTATGAAGGCTCGTAATCAGTGACTGGTGCGTTTCGATCCGTCTATTGTCACAGTTAAACAGTCGTCTATTGTTAGTCAAATCGTCAGTTCTCCAGTTGTTCTCTCGTAGTTAGTTTTGCTTGATCTCCTCAATAAGTCGTTTGTACGGCGCTGGTAACTGTTGGCTACGATTCAGTGGCGTTTGTTCTAAGTTAGTAAACCAGCTTTCTAAACTAAGACGTTGATAGTAGTCTGTAGAATACGTTATACATGTCGCAGAGTCCTAGAGTTCACCAGAAGCAACAACATAATTTGAAAGAAACCGTAGTTAAACAGCTTTCAGTTGAATGATCAACACGTTTCAGCGCGAGACACACGCAACGGGGAATGCCGCGCGCGCTCCACGTCCGCTTCGTGCTCACCTAAAAAATTCGAAAAAATAGCGCATGATTGTTGAAGGTTAGTTGCAAACTTTAGCCCACGAAAATCCTTCGTCCGATAAAGCTGCGTCTGAGTTGCCGAGGACAGCAAAGCCATAACGTGATGATTTAGTCATAATGTTTTTTTGGAATACCGGAGTTTACTTTCAGTTCTACACGAGAGAATAATCATGTAAAAGCAGTAGAAAATGACGAAACTTTTGTAATGAAAGAGGCAAGGATTAGAATTTAAAGTAACGATTATAATAAGTAAAAATGTCATTTGTTTTTCTCCGTTGTAAGAAATTAATCACATAATTGTTTATTTCAATTACTGTAGAAATAGCATGCTGAATGTATTTAGTTATTCAATATTTAATTAATTATTGTAGTTATCATTATTATTATTTAATTTTATCATTATTTAATTTGATAATTATTTAATCAATTGCTGTAGTAATAGTGTGTTGGATGTATTTATTTAGCTATTTAGTTAAAATCAGCGTATAAGAATTAGGCTAAACACCAGCCGATTGTTAGGCTGTTTGTAGATTATTGAAATTTTTAATTTGTAAAATGGATATGCTGATGAAAAGTTGCAATAAAATACACGAAGAGAACGGTCGTTGTTTTTCCTTAACCTCTCATCTGCAATGTAAAAATTTGCGGCAGAAAACCGAGAGACATTTTGTTACTTTACTCGTATTTAATTTTGTCTTCAACAACAAAATTGAAGTGTCTCTTGGACAGCTCAGGATGCCGAAGCCCCTCAAAAGAGACACCAGGGCAAGGTTACATAAGAGGGCTCTTAACTTTTGTTCTGGAACAATAACCTATTGTACGAGAACGCAACCCCTAATTTCTGATGGGTGTTCTGTGCATCATTGGGTGCTCTGTGCAATTAACAAGCGAGGTTTTTTGAGATTGCATTTGTGTCGACACACATTTGCCTCGCTATGAGGCGCCTGCTTACGTTTTGCCTCACTTTGACGCGCTAACTCACTTGGTGATTCGTGTGCCCTCGGCGCTCATCTTTCAAACGTTTGCTGAGAGCTGCTATTCAGTCTTCGTAAGGCGTTCATCTTTTAAAAGTTTGCTGAATCTTCGTGAAGCGTATACATTGCAATAGTTTGCTGAAGGTCTCCTTTCGTTCTGTGTTTGTTGAATCTTCCAAAGCGTTCATCTTTCAAAAGTTTGCCGTTAATTTTACTTTGGATTAAGCCTTCAACTCACATTTTTCAGCATGGTTCGTCACTGTCTTTAAAAAATGTGTGCGACTCCTGCTGTATGTATCAAACCGGGTTGTTTGGCTCGGCGGCCGTTATTCCACAAAGTAAATTTACCGAGTTGTGTAGCTCGGCGGAAGTTGTGCCTGAAAGTAAATTAAATCTATCGACTTTTGTAGCTTGGCGGCCGTTGTTCCACAAAGTAAATCTACCGAGATGTGAATCTCGGCGGCGCCATTTCATGATGACTTGTGATATTTTCTGCACCGGACAAACGAACATTTTAGCTCTATATTATTTATTCGGAAAAACTTATAAACCAGCCCACAGCAGCAGTTCTAGCCGCTTCCAGTATAGAACAAAACGCTTCGGTTCTAGTTTTTTCCCAGCAATGGCGAAAATTAACTAATCTTACGAGTCTACACTGTAAAATGAAGAGAGCCAATTTGGCCCCAAAAATGGGGCCGAAACGGGTAAGTCCAGAATGGTACTGTTTTTGGGGCCAATTCGGCCCCACTGAGATAGGGCTGTTTTGGTACCAAAATTTGGGGCTAAATTGACCCTTGCATCGGGGCCAAATTAGACCATGTAAAGGGTCAATATGGAAAACACTAGGGCCATTTTGGATTTTCCAGTAGCCAAAACAGCCCCCTCAAATTTTGGCCCTCTTAAAAACTACCCCTCCAAAAGTAGCCGATTCCACCCCATATCGGGCCATTATGCCTTTTTTTAATTTGGGTGGGGGCCTAAAGATTTTTTTTCCTTAATTTATTAGGTATTGACAACTAAGGCTTATATCAAACATTTATTCAGTTCTGAATAAGTTACTGTGATCTGTGTACATCATAACAACGCGTATTCCAACCTATTTATGTAACATTATCTTCGGTTAATCTCAACTTTTCTAGATTGAACATTTAGAATTATTGCAGAAATTAAATTGGCCAAGAGAGACACTTGACTTCGGTGCCATCAAAGTAACTACTTCTTAAAACGGTTTTCACAAAAGACAAAGTCAAAATCATAATAAGCATCATAGGAACACTTAAAACCTATAGTGAAAATCAAAAATTGGAGTTGTAAAGGGTTTCATTAATTAAAGCTCACCAGAATTGGAGTCAATTAAGGTTTGTTTGACAACTCCCCTTTTGACAAAAAAAAAAAGATTGTCAGAGTTGGCCAAGCTCTCCTGCTAACAATTCCGACAATGTATATTAGATTGAAGTAAAAGAGTAGTAAGAGCAATAATGAACTAAAATGCTTTAGCTATATCAATTCTTCAGATTCTGCTTATGATGTAGAAAACCAGATAAAGCAGGGGTAGAATCGTCGAAGGATAAACCACTTACCAGTCAAAATTCTTGTTCCCATGCTTTATAGTTTTCACTAGATCAAAAGTGAAGGAGTCATAATTGGAGTAACTATACCCTGTTAGTGTTTTATCTAGATCAAGACTCTATGCTTTTGATTACAGTTCCGACTCTATCTTACTAGTAAACCAGCCCTTAATGACTTGGCAAATGTTTTAAACTATATTTTACTCCACATATATTATGTTTAAAAAGTCTCGCCAAATCTTGGTAGATATAATGGTGAAAGAAAGCTTCCATGAAAAAAATTTTGACAATTTGGCTATTTACATTCAGCAAGAACTGAGGCATTTGCCAAGTCATTAAAAAAGGGAGGAAACATTGACAAGTGTCTAACCCAGTCCACTTTCAAGCAATGCCTGATCTAGAAAAGTCAAGATGGCTTTGCATTGGGTGTATGATACATTAAATACATAAAAACACCCAAGCAATACTATCACTGCATCAATCTTCTTCTGAGGAAATTGGCAAATAATGCCTCCCTTTGTCACAACAAAATCCTGAATTTTCCTGTCAACATCTGCATCCCTCTGCAATAAAAACAAATGTTCTAATTTTAGAAAAATGATAATAACAATAATCAAAACACAACAAACAGTGCCTACACATAAAAAGTCAGTATGGTCATAACAATACTATTGTCAAAACAATGTTGGTTTAATTACTTCTTTCCAGTTTTCAGGTATGCACGTATGGTATACTATATAAATTATAGTGTGTTGAAATTATGCTTCCTTTATGTTATGGGAAAAAGAATGATAGCATAATTATGTCTAATACATTCACACATCAATGAGGAGGTAATTACAGTGTGCAAGTCCTGATTTTAAAAGATTATTTTAGTTCATTTATTTCCCACCAATCAAGAAATCTTGCAGCTGTAAATCAAAATTCATTAAGTATTATGTATCCATTAGTATTCTGTGAGATTTGGTGTAGTCT